TAACTTTTTAAAAAAAGAGCACGGACCCCCAAATACTAAAACCAGTTCGTTTTTATTCAAGTACAAAGTCAAGAGGAAAATATCTCCATCACTAATCTGGGTGATAGTTTAAAGGTGTGTTCACTTTGTGAAAAAAATGCATTGAGATCTACCTCTATGAATTGTATACATTTTTCAATAAAACTTTTATTTCATGTCTGTATAATGGGTATATAAATAAAATGCACCTAACATGACTACTGGATTAAATGAAACAAGCTAAGTACAATATGAACTCTTATACACTTATATACACACACAGTCCAGAGCACAGTAAATGCTCAATAAATGTTGTATATTATTTTAATTAAAAGGATAAAAGTTCCCCTGGATTTACATTTAAAAATTCTGAAGGGGGTGAAAGGAAAAAAATAGGCATATATTTGAAAAAATATGGGCCAGAGATTGATATAGCTAACGCTTAGTGGAGGCAGTCTACTTTTTTATATGTAAATAAAATTGTCTTAGCAAAAAGGGGAAGTAATCATTAGAGACAAAGGGATGTTTTAATTAAGATGAGTTACATTAAAGGGGCGCCTGGATAGCTCAGTTGGTTAAGTGTCTGACTTCGGCTCAGGTCATGATCTCACAGTTTGTGGGTTTGAGCCCCAAGTCAGGCTCTCTGCTGTCAGCACAGAGCCTGCTTTGGATCCTCTGTCCTTCCCCCTCTCTCTCTGTCCCTCCTCTGCTCGTGCTCTCTCCCTCTCTCAAAAATAAATGAAACATTAAAAAAATATATGTGAGTTACATTAAAATTTGGTGAAATAAGCTAATAAGACGAAATCTTCGTAATAACATTCACGGAAAATGGGGGGAAAGGACATTGTCAAATATAAAAGAAGTCAGAATATGGGGACCACAAGGCTTCCATGAAAAAGAAAAACTACTTAATAAAATTACAACAATTAAAAGTGACATCAAGGGGCACCTGGGTGGCTCAGTCGGTTGGGTGTCCGACTTTGGCTCAGGTCCTGATCTTGTGGTGGGTGGGTTTGAGCCCCAGTCAGGCTCTGTGCTGAGCCTGGGGCCTGCTTCAGATTCTGTGTCTCCCTCTCTCTCTGCCCCTCCCCCTCTTGTACTCTGTCTCTCTTTCAAAAATAAACATTTTAAAAAAATTAAAAAAAAAAAGTGACATCAAAAGTTGGAACTCAAGAGGGCACCTGGGTGGCCCAGTTGGTTAAGCATCTGACTCTTGATTTCTGCTCAGGTCATGGTCTCACAGTTGTGAGACAGAGCCCTGTGTGGGGGTCCTTAAAGGCAGCTCAGAGCCCACTTGGGATCCTCTCTCTCTCCCTCTCACCCTCTCTTTCTCTGTCCCTCCCCTGCTTGTGCTCTCTCTCTCTCTCAAAATAAATAAACTTAAAAAAAAAAAGTTTGAACTCAGGAATGAGGAAGCAGAAGAGGAAGGCAGCAACCTGTGGATGCCTTGGATAAACAATGAATATGAAATAACTAAGTAAATTACTGTTACCAAACAATTTAGACGAGATAAAACTGGACAGTGTAAAACTACTAGCTAATGCTAATATTCTCAATTTCTCAACAACGGATCAGTCAATATGGCCTATAAGGAAAATGTGGTTAATAAAAACATAATGATGCTGAAAGACTGCCAGAGTGAGTTTCAGATGTTGTGACCAAGAGGCTGTCCCAGCACCCAGTTTATTTTGCCCAGAGAAAGGACTCATTACAGGGAGCTCAGTATCCCAGGGCTTCCATGCTGCCATACCTGAGGGATGAGAACCAACGTGAATGCAGAGATGGGAGGGCCAGTGTGGCATGGCTGAAATACAAACACCACGTGAGCCACCTGGAACCTGTGGGCGTCTGCCTCAGTGCGACAGTGCACAGTGACAACTTAGACAACAATTCCTGGGACAGGTGCACTGTACGTGGTGGAGGGCCCACTGTCCTTTCCTTCATGGGGTGAGGTTGGCCACAGGTCAGACTCACCTCAGATTCCCTGAGACTAGCCAAATGTATACCTCTAAAGGTCACTCTCTCTTTTCTTCAACCTACTGTGATTTTTCAGGGGGAACATATCTTGTGTGGTGAAGAAATGTCTGTGAAGTTCAAGAATTTCTTCAGTTTTACTTTCAGATTCATTTTCTTCAATTAGAATCAAGTAAAATTAAATCTTCACTAAGAAAATAGACATATGGCATGATCCCATTTTTATGAAAGTATTTCTATCCCTCCTTCTATCTGTAAAAAATGCATGGAAATATGTCTAGGATGCTGCACCAGAAATGTTAATGATGGTTATATTTGAATCATGCAACTGGAACTAATACTTTTTTTTTTTTTTAACTTTTCCACAATGCTTAAACTGTTTATAGGGAGCGTATATTGTTTCCACAGAAAGAATAAAGTGATTTTTCTTTAAAAAACAAACAAACAAACAAATAAACAAACCTGCCTTCTTGATGAGAGCCCTTGGGGTTTAAAGCTTCCATGTTTTACTTTCTCCCTCCTCTGGCTGCCCGCCACCCCCCTTCCCCCCACCACTGTCTTCCTCCCAGTTTCCTCCATTTCTCTCCTCCCTCCCTTTGCACCCTGCGGCTTTTCACCTCCCTTTAGCCCCCCACCTCCTTCCCCTGTTTTTCCCAGATCTAGCCCCTCCCCCCCGACTGAGGACACCCCATCTTTAGTGCTCAATGGCCTGTTGGCCCATGGGTGGGGAGGCCAGGCTCCTTTCCTTTCCTGCAGGAAGTTGGGGTGGGGACATTTTCAGAGGGTTTTGAGATCCTCAGTGGCCCCTCCTTTCCCCTCTACCTCTCCTAACCCCAGAACCCAAGGGAGGAGGCAAGAGCAGCCAGGGTGGGGTGGGGATAATGGAGAAAGAACTCTGTATGAATGTAGCCATGGGGCAAGTCTCCCCACAGGACCCAGGGGATGTGGAACAGCTTGAATCATTTCCCCAGCTCTGTGTCATCCCCTCAGCTCTACTTTTTTTTTTTTTTTTTTTTTTTTTTTTTTTGTCCCCAACACCTTTGCTCAATACATCACCAACTTCTTGGATTTCAATATTCTTTCTATCTCAAGGGCCTCCTCTGGAAAGGGCTCACTCTCCCTGATCCTATGACAGGACTGGGGGAGCTGTGAAAAGAGTGGCCTTGACCATGCCACAGGGACTCCTGGTTGAGAGAGAGAGAGAGAGTCAGGCCCACCCAGACAGGCTGCTGTAGCTTGCCCAGGACCAGTGCAAGGGACAGGTGAAAGGGTGGCAGAAGGACAGGGTGGAGCTGTGGGCAAAGCCACAGGACAGCTGCCCAAGCAAAGCAGACTGCTGGTTACACTGAAGGACAGTCAATTCCCTATGGCTGGAGAGAACCCCAAATGTTTGGCATCTCAGCTGTCAGGCCCCAGAAAGGGCAGGGCTCTCCTTGGAGGATTCCAAGTCTCACATAAGCAGGGCCAGCCCATCAGGGACCCCTGGGCCCCCACCTGGTTCTGGCA